TCAGTGAAGAAGGTGAAGCTCCAGTCTCTCAGAAAGCAATGTGAGAATCTCAACATGAAGGACAATGAGAAGGTTTCTGAATACATCTCTAGAGTGATTCTGATCACTAATGATATGAAAGCTTGTGGAGAAACTCTGTCTGAACAAGTAATTATTGACAAGATCTTGAGATCTTTAACTTCTCAGTTTGATTACATTGTGGTAGCAATTGAACATTCCAAAGATCTGAGCACCATGAGAGTTGAAGAGCTGCAACGTAGTCTAGAAGCGCATGAGTTGCATATGACTGCAAGAACTTCTGAGAGGGAAGTAGAGCAACAGGCTCTGAAAGTAACTTTTGGTAAGAAGCATCAGAAGCAGACTTGGTCAGAAGCCAGAAAGAAAACTAATGGTGGTCAAAAGTCAGAAGCTTCAAACTCTGATAGGAAGAAGAATTTCCAGAAGGGAAAGGAGAAGTATGACAAGAAGAATGTTCAGTTTTACTGTTACAAGAACTTTGGTCACTATGCCAGAGATTGATGGTCAAACAAAGAAAAGAAGTCAGAAGAAGCAAATATAGCAAGAGGAGAGTCTGATGATGAACTTGTGATATTGTTGGCTTCTGAACCTGATGATCTGAATTCATCAGAATGGTAGTATATGGACACAGGGTGTTCAAACCATCTTACTGGAAACAAGAAGTGGTTGGTTGACTTAGACTTTGGGAAGAGTACAAAGATTAGATATGCTGATGATAAATACCTCAATGCAAAAGGTATGGGAAATATCAGAATCATTCAAAACAATGGGAAAGTAGCGGTGGTCCAAAATGTTTGGTATGTACCTATCATGAAAAGCAATCTGATGAGTGTGGGACAACTGGTTGAGAAAGGTTTTTCAGTTACCATGAAGGACAATCTTCCGAAGTTGTATGAATGTAATCAGAAGCTGATTATGGATTCAGAACAGGGAAGGAACAAAACATTCAAGGTGAATGTTAGAACTGCAGACTCTGAATGTCTTAGTGCAATAAGTGTTGTCAAGGAGAGTGAGTTGTGGCACAGAAGATTTGGCCATCTGAATATCAGAAGTTTAGGACATCTAAAATCAAAGAATCTGGTACATGGAATTCCTACAATTAAGAAGCCTGAAAAGTCATGCAAGGTGTGCATGGAAGGGAAGCAACCAAGATTACAATTTGCATCAGAAGTAGCTCCAAGAGCAAATCAAGCCTTGGGAGTAGTACATTCTGATGTCTGTGGTCAGTTTCCAGTAGCATCGACTGGAGGGAATAAATATTTTGTGTCATTTATTGATGAGTTCACCAGAATGACATGGGTATCTCTCATAAATTTCAAACACGAGGTGTTTGCTGAATTCAAGAAGTTCAGAATGAAGGCTGAGAATCAGAGTGGCCAGACTCTAAAGATTCTTAGAACTGATGGTGGTGGTGAGTATAACTCCACAAAATTCAGAAGTTTTTGTGAGGAGAATAGAATTGAGCATGAGGTTACTGCTCCCTATACTCCTCAACACAATGGTCTTGCTGAAAGAAGAAACTATACTTTACTTGATATGGTGAGAAGCATGCTGAAAGAGAAGAAGCTTCCTCATACTCTGTGGGGAGAAGCTGTTGCAGCTACATGTTATGTGCTCAACAGATGTCCAACAAAGAAACTGAAGAAAATAGTTCATATTCAAAAGTGGATTGGAGATAAGAAAAGTGTTATTCATCTGAAGGTGTTTGGTTCTGTATGTTATAAACATGTCCCAGAAGCCAGAAGACATAAGTTGGATGATAAAAGTAAAGTGATGTTGCTAGTGGGGTACCACAGTACAGGTTCGTACAAACTTTATTGTCCAAAAACTAACAAAGTTGAGTTTAGCAGAGACGTCATTGTATAGGAATCCGATGTTTGGAATTGGGAAAAGTCTCGCCTGACTCTGATGAGAGAAATTTTGAAGAAAAGTAAGAAATACATGTTTCTGAAGCTGGTAAAGACTCTGACTTTGAAAAAGATACAAAAAGGAGAAGATGATTCTGACTCTGACTCCGATGGTGATCCAGACTCTGAAGACAATCAAGGTTCTGGAGAAAGTCCAAATTCTGAAGCAAGTGCTTCTGAAGGGGAAAGTTCTGGTGTCCAAAGTTCTAAAGTTCAAGTTCAGAGGCAACAAAGAGTCAGAAGCATCCCAAGAAGATTTGCAGAGTTTGGCATGTTGCAAGATACTGAAGTAGACTCTGAAGGAGAAGTTATTTAGTATGCAATGTTAGTAGACTTTGAAACCATAAGTACGAAAGAGGCTTTTAAGAAACAAGTTTGGTTACAGGCCATGAAAGAAGAACTTGATGCTATAGAGAGAAACAAGACTTGGAAGCTGACAGAACTTCCAAAAGGTAAGAAAGCCATCAGCGTCAGATGGGTTTTCAAGAAGAAGCTAAATCCAGATGGATAAATTGGTAAACACAAAGCAAGATTAGTAGCAAGAGGCTTTCTATAGAAGCCTGGGCTGGATTATTTTAAAGTGTTTGCACCTGTAGCGAGACATGAAACAATCAGACTAGTGATTGCAATAACTGCTAACAGGAATTGGTCTCTAATGCATTTAGATGTAAAATCTGCATTTCTGAATGGTCCATTACAAGAAGAGGTATACGTATCACAACCTCCTGGATTTGAGAAAAAGAATCAGGAATGGATGGTGTTCAAATTACACAAAGCCTTATATGGATTGAAGCAAGCACCCAGAGCTTGGAATTTGAAGATTGATTCGTTTTTCAAGGAACAAGGGTTTCAGAAGTCTGAGATGGAGTAATGTTTTTATGTTCAACACACTTCAAAAGATAATATGATTCTGGTCTGTTTGTATGTTAATGACATATTACTCACAGAAAATTCTGAACAAGAGATAGCTGAATTCAAGAAAGTTTTGATGAATGCATTTGAGATGACAGATCTTAAAAAAACGAGTTTCTTTCTAGGGATGGAGTTTATGTACTCTAAGAAAGGAATCATTTTGCATAAGATGAAGTATGAACTAGAGCTTCTGAAGAGATTTGAGCTAGAGAATTGCAAGGTTGCTATCACATCTGCTGATACGAATCAGAAATTGGAATCTGATTTCGATGGAAAGGATATGGATGCTACAACCTTCAAACAAATGGTTACTTCTCTAAGGTATTTGTGTAATACCAGACCTGATATTTGCTATGCAGTTGGAATGGTTAGCAGATTTATGAGCAAACAAAAATGGTCTCATTACCAAGATGCAGTCAGGATTATGAGGTATGTGAAGAGAACTCTGAAATATGGAGTGTTATTTCTGTCTGGAAGAAAGATCAAATCAGAACTTCTGAGTTATTCTGATTCTGATTGGTGCGGAGATAAAGTTGACAGAAGAAGTAACTCTGGGTACTTATTCAAATTTCTGGGTGGTCTTATTTCTTGGTGTTCCAAGAAACAACCAGTTGTTGCACTGTCAACTTGTGAAGCTAAATATATTGCAGGCGCTCTGACTGCATGTCAAGCTGTGTAGATTCTGAACTTGCTGAAAGATCTGAAGATTAAGGTAAATAAACCTCTGAAGCTGATGATTGATAATAAGTCTGTAATCAATCTTGCCAAGAATCTAATGTTGCATGGGAGAAGCAAACATATTGAGATCAAGTATCATTTTCTGAGGAATCAAGTTCAGAATGGAATTTTTGAAGTTGTGCACTGTAGCATCCAGAAGCACCTGACATATGTTCTGACAAAGGCTATCAAAACTGATCAATTTCTTGGTTTAAGGAATGAAATTGGTGTTGTCAGTTTTGGGTAAATATAAATTAAGGGATGGTGTTAGAATTAATTTAGATTTTATAATCAATTAGATATTCATTTATATTTAGGAATATCTTTTAGATTGTTTATATCTTTGTTAGAAGATATATATCTTAGATCTTCTTATATCTTTGTTAGAAGATATATTTTAGATTTAATTTTGTGTATAAATAGCCTAGTGGAGTAGGTTATTGTAATTCATTGTAAATCCTTATTTTAAAGCTATAAGTAAATATTTCTTTTGCCTTTCATCTTTTCTTTGTGCACCAACAAAATATAGTTGGTTTTAGTAAATCTTGACAAAATATACTTAAGTAAAATACGTGATTTAAACTTAACTTTTTCTCAAAAATAACAAACTAAAACAACAATCTCTTTGACTAGTCGGATAGAGAAAACGAAGCAATGTTTCACAAAAGATAAAGATTGATAAAAAGGAAAAAGTGTGAAATAAACATGAAAAGACTCGCATCTTTGTCGACGACTATCATTTCGAAATGCTCATTTGTGTTAGAGATGGCAGTCCATATAAAGTGGACTTTAACCACAGTCTTCCATAACTCTTTCTTATCGTTGATGTCGTTGATCTTTTCAAATGGTCTGGCCATGATAAGCAAAAATGATTGAATGTAGAAGGAGGAAAACGAAAAACACAATATTAATAAGATGTTTGAGAATCTCAAAAAAAGAAAATAAGAGTAAACGTTAGAAAATTGTGAACAATATACAAGGAAACAAAGCAAAGGTAACATGTAGCTGAAGAGACATATAAACTGCAGTAGAGGTAAAAAGTTGAAAATGAGTCCGATCAGTCATAAATAGATCAAATAACAAAGTTAGTTGAATAATATAAATTTTAGACTGAAAAAACCTCAAATTCAAGAGGTGGCACAAAGAAAGCAAAGGGCATGGAAGTAATATCCGGAACATTGTATCTTATATTATATATATTTAGTAACCTTCCGTTAGCATACATAAACTAAAAATTACTGGTAAACGCGATCTATATCTTAGAGAAAGTTAGTTGGTATTTTAATATTAGAAAGGATGTTAATGTCATTTTAGTAGATATGAGAGGAGTGTAACTTCCTTTAATAATAATAATAATAATAATAATAATAATAATAATAATAATAATAATAATAAAAAATAATAATTCAATCCAATAAAAAGCTAATATATCATTCATCACATGAAATGGCGCTAAGATTGAGCAACACTTTCTTTTCCGTTTCAGCTATAGCTTCAAATCATTATTCAAAGAAACCCCCTTTCAGATTCAAAATCACAACTGTTTCTGCTACAAATTCAATTCCAATGGCTTCCACCGAAACCCCAAATTCAACCTCAACTTCCAAAATCATCGATTCACATCTCCACGTCTGGGCTTCCCTTCAAGAGGTAATATCCTGTTTACATCAAACTTCAAAAAATTAACGATTTTCTATGTTTATGTATAATTTTTGTTACGGGTTTTGATATGATTGTGTTGATTTTGAATGTTAAGGCTAGTCAATTTCCTTATTCTCCTGGACAAGAGCCTAATTTACCAGGAAATGTTGATTTTTTGCTCCAGGTTTGTATTTTTAGACTCTTTGCTCATAATTTGAAAATAATAAATAAATTAAACTTAATCACAAGTGTCATTGTCAGTATCGTGTCACTTCTATAGAATGTGATACACTTAAATCCTAATTGTTTGATGTTTTGTGGTAAGACCTCTTAGTCATGGTTCAACCTTCTTAAATTGTTTGAACAAGAATAAAACCGTGATTGAACCGGTTAAGTAGCCAAATAATTGTAAATGTTGGTTCAAGCTTCAAGTGGTTGAAATTGAAATGACTAGTTTGGTTTTTAAAGTTTTGTTTTGAGTTAGTTAGATAAAAACTGATTCTGATTGGAAATTGTGTTATGTATGGTGGATGCTGGTACCAAACTTTTGTAGTGTATGGAGGAAGCAGGAGTAGATGGTGCACTCATTGTACAGCCAATTAATCATAAATTTGATCATACTTATGTCACAAGGTATATACTTTAAGCTTTTTTTTTCTTTTTTTTTTTAACTTTGTTTTTCACGGTTGATGGAAGAAAAACGCAATGGTTCAGTGCTTTCGTTGCTACTAGGGTCTGTTTTTGGAGTAGTTTATTTGAATTTATACACTAGTATAAAACACTTATGAGACTGATTCAGAGAGCTTATGGAAACAACTTTTGACATATCATAAACTGTTTTTAGCTTATTTCCGTAATCTTTTATTGTAGCTTATGAAAACAGTTTATAACTTATATGTAATTATTATTCATACGATTTGTTTGTTGGTCAGTGTTTTAAAGAAATATCCGAACAAATTTGTTGGCTGTTGTCTTGCCAATCCAGCTGGTGATGGAAGTGGGCTTAAGGAGTTTGAGCATCTTATCCTCAAGGTCTAACGGTTCATTTTTATCTATCAAATTCTATATCCAGTGTCAAACACATGATGGAATTGTACACTAATGTGATACTAACACATGTGGTTACATTCAATCACTTCCAGTATTTCAAATTAGTATCAGTTTCTATACATCTGTGTTGATAGTGTTTGTACCTTTGGCAGTGCTTCATAAATCACATCACACAGCTGTGTTTTGGTCAAATGAATTGATGTTTTCTTTTTATTTGTATTAGGATGGCTACCGTGCCGTTCGATTCAACCCTTATTTATGGCCATCTGGTGAAAAGGTAGGAAACTTGTTTTCTTTTCTCACATCTTCTTATTAGTAAATTAAATTAAGCACATAATTTTAAAAAGGAAAATATAAAATATTTTCACAAAGTAATCAGAACTTTATCAAATTTGTCCTGATTAATATTTTGCAGATGACAAATGAAATAGGGAAGGCAATTTTCAAAAGAGCTGGCGAACTCAATGTACCAGTGGGCTTCATGTGTATGAAGGTCTTCTCTCTGACTTTGTCCCTCAAAACGAGTAATTACTATTCGAAGTTTATCATATCCGATTAATTAGTCCATATCTTTTTGTTAAATCTGTTTGACTTTATCCTTATTAGTTTATCAAAATATAAGAGACAGATGAATAATTTCAGGGGCTTGATCTGCATATTTCTGAAATTGAGGAACTATGCACAGAATTTCCATCAACAGGTGTATTGCTCGATCACTTGGCCTTTTGCAAACCACCATTGTAAGCCACACTATGTTCATTGTTTTAAAGGCCTAGACAGTTACACTTACATGAATACTTTATTGCAGAAATGATGAAGAAGGTCTTGTGTTTTCCAAGCTTTTAAATTTATCTAGATTCCCACAAGTAAGTGAAGCATGCCTTTATTATTTGGTTAATTGCAATGTCTTGAATATGAATATGATTCATTAGTAATTGTATTTTTTCTTGTTTTTCCCTTTCTAAATAGCACTATTTTGAAAACTAGACAGAAAATTAAACCAGTAAAACATTTAGATCGCGGTCTGCACCGTTCAATCGATTCATCAATTGAACAAATCGACAAACTGTCTAGTTTTCGATTAAACTGGTCGAACCAGATGATTTGGCTCGGTTTTTAAAACAATTTTAAAAGGCCAAAACTATAGCATTAGGAACTAAAATTTGAATTTGTGATGGCAGGTATATGTGAAATTTAGTGCACTCTTCAGAGTATCAAGGACAAAATTTCCTTATCTGGATTTATCTCCTCTGTTGTCCAAAATTGTATCTAGCTTTGGGGCTAACCATGTAATATGGGGCAGGTACGTAACTTCCATAGAGGAAAAACAACAAAAGGAGCATTAGAATTTCTGTTGATAAAATATCATGTTAAGTTTCTTTATCAAACCTTGTTGTCGCAGTGATTTTCCGTTTGTTGTTCCTGAATGTGGCTACAAAGGAGCCAAAGAAGCAGTGCAACTCATTGGCAATGAAATATCTTTGGCTTCATCTGATTTAGAGTGGATCATGGGTAAGACTGCTGCACAACTTTTCCAAAGCCAACTGAATCCTTCTGGTTGATCATTGCATGCTTCCATCAATCGCACAAATGGTGCTACTTTCACTGCAACTTAATAGAAGCTCCAAACCCAACTTTTGCAAGTTTGTTGTTTTCCACTGTGAATTTGGTTTAATCATGTAATATACATTTTATTTATATAGTTCTTTGGAATAAGATTTGCTATCAAGAAAAATTACAGAAGAGGCAATACGTTTATAAAATTCAAGGAAATTGATAGGAAACTTCATTGAATTTAGTGGAGTTACATTGATTATAATAGACACCTACTTGAAACAAAAGCAAAAGTAATCATATGCAACTAATTGTATCTATGTTTGGCATCAACATGTCTCCTCCTTTTGTTCTTCTTCTTTAACTTGTCACAAGTGAATGTTCTCTCAAGCTGCTCCACTCTTTGTGTGAGAGATGTGAGAAGTGATGTTTGCTTCTCATTCTTCTCAAACAATTGTGTCATCATATTCATCATCTTCTCATTCTCATTCATCATCCTTCTCAATATTTCCCTATTCTCCTCTTCCTCCTCACATCCAATTACATCCCTACCCTCCTCACATCCAATTACATTTCTACCCTCCTGTTCTTTCACATCCATACTATCATCCTCGATTCCTTCTTCCATCAAACTTGATCCAACACTCTCTTCCTTCTCATCTTCCTCCATTTTCTTCTCATCCTCATCTTGACCTTCTTCCTCTTTTACCTTCATCAAACAATTCTCCTCTTCTTTTACACTTTTGCCCTCACCACCATCCCCATTCATAGAAAATCCAATTTTTTCATCTCCCTCATTCTCCACCTCACACCCCCCTTCATCCTTCTCCATACAATTCACCTCTCCATCCTCATTCACCGAAGCTTCAATTTTTATACCACCCCCAATCTTCCCGATCACTGAAGCTTCAATTTTCTCACCACCTTCATGTTCATCCTCACACCCCACCTCTTCCTTTTCCAAGAAATTTTCTTCAACCCCATCACACTTACCCTCACCACTACAAACCTCATCTGTGGGACTCACCATTTGAATTTGATCCACATATTCTTGCAGAAAAATGGCCCTTTTAATGAGTGACTTTCTCAAGTCTCTAAGAGCAGAACAATGAAACACTCTAACTGAATCCAACCTAAGAAGCAGACTCATGATGGTTTCACCCATCCTTATTCTCTCCTTTTGCTCCTTCTTCATCATCTTCACAGTTTCTTCAGTATTGACCGTTTTGTCAATCTCCTCCAACTCCACCTTCATCTTCAGCATCTTCTTCAAACTCTTCCTTACATGATACCCTCTTGCAACCCTCTGAATCTTGGTGGCTGAATCGGTTCTGTTTCTGTCAGACCCAACGAAATGAACCGGAATTGAAACCACCTTTGACGGCGTCTTGTTGTAACGAGGAGCGCCCCATTGGGTTTCATACGATGAGAAAGGTGTTGCTGTTCTGTTGTTAAAATCCATCATGTTTTGTTAACTTGGAAGTTATTTGTGATTTTTGATTTGATAGAATTAAGGTTGCTCAGTTTGAGAGAATTAAGGTTGTTCAGTTGCTGTTATGTTAATAGAATTAAAGATGGAGGAGATATATTTGTAATGAATACGAGAGGTTGTTGTTGGTTTGGAAATGTTCCAGAAGTTTCCTGAGACGAGAAGAAGAGAACCGAATAGAATCGAATAGAAGAATGAGATTAACTGGTTGCTTACGTGGCATGGCCATGGGTGGGTCCCTCTTCTTTTTTGTTTGGTTCTAGATAACTGTCGAATCTTCTTCTCAATGGAATGGAAAAAACGTGATATGTGTGTATGATTCTGTCTTCCGTTAATTTTAGTATATTAATTTCAATTGAATATTTTTGTTTCTTAAGGAAGCAAGCTAAAGATTTTATTTTTTAAATAATCATACACTACACTTTTATACAATCAAACAGAATATAGCTGAACTATTAAATATATAAATTTTAGATACTTAAAAAATAGATAATTTTTGAGGAATTAAAAGTATTTATTTCAAACAAAATATTTTTACATATAAAATAAACAAATTTATTTGCAGTATACAGTGGTGTTAATTGTTCTGGACTGTCTCTAAGGTCTAAGATAGATGACCGAATGATAGGGCGGAAGTACTAAAATGGACCGTCTGTAAGATCTAAGATGGATGACTAAATAATTGGGCGGAAGCACTAAAGCGCACATAACAAGTATATATTTTTCTTGGAAATAGACGATCTCGCCCTCTAGAGTCTTGTTGATCATCCAAATCAATCTAACAGCTAAATTCGATTCACGTCTCACTCCACGCTTTATGTTGAGAATTGTTCCCACTATTTTAGAAAAAAATTATGTCATTCTCAAATATCCAATTCATTGTCACTCCCATAACACTTCTCATTCTCTCAATGAGTTGAGCATCAAATTGCTACCCTTGTATGTCCCCTCCAAGCCACACTAGAAACTTGAGTCCACCTTAACAAGCAATTCTTCATCAATTCACAAATACTTTTGGTTCCTCCGCGAAATAGTGAAAATACTGGAATCGAAATCTAATACCCATAAATCTTCACGATCGAATCTCATTTGATCTAAATATACAAACATCCTCTCTCAGAGCTTCAGATCTATGCTTCTCCATCTACTCAATCAAATCTCCTTCGATATAAAAATCTAGATCTTTTTCCTTAGAGCTTCAGATCTCCATTTCTCAATCGTCCTCCTTTAATTTCAACCTTCTCTCCCAATAGATCTTCTTCAGATTCATCAATAATGATGGCATTTAAAGCTTACTTGATCCTCCGCTCAACGGCAAGCCAATATTACAACTGCAGAAGTTGCTAAAGTTCCATTTCCTCTCCCTTAGATAGAAGAGAACCCAATCTTAGGAGCATCTCCTTCTGATCCCTTACCGCAAGATTACGCTCTACCGAAAGTTGACCAAAAAGTATTCCAAACTCTTTCGTTCTTCTAATCCTTACAACTGGGATTATTGTTGCTCGTAAGTCTAAATATACCAAGTTACTAAGATTAAACTTTCTTTATTTGAGTTGTGGATTCAACCTTCCAAGCGTATGTGTGGTTTCACGAACTGGGGTAACCAATTCTCAGTGTTATTTACTGTTTTCAGCTCCATAAACTTGCATAATTCATACTTTTTGTTCTGCGAAAGATGAAGTTATTCACAAAACTTAGCAAGTGTGCGTTCTGGATGTAAGAGGTCAAATTCCTTAGAGATGTGGTTTCTCTGAGAGGATTTTCCATAGATCAGTCAAAAGTAGAAGTTGTACTCAATTGGGAGAGACCTACGAATGCCTCATGAAGTTATGGATATCATATCCTGGATGTCCTAAGAGATGTCGAGACACTTGATCTGACTTCACACACTACATCAAGATGTATAAACAGAAATAACAGTGTTGAAAGTAAATAACACATGGTATGTTTACCCAGTTCGGAATAACCTTCCTACTCTAGGGGCTACCAAGCCAGAGGCAAAATTAACTAGATAGTATTAATTTGCATATCTTACAGAAAACCTCCAGTTTACAGCCCGCGCACTTAGTCATTATCCTTTGCTTAACTTCTACCTAAGACACACCTAGGTATGAGGCCCTCCTCAAATCTCTTTTCAATTACACTCGGAAATTGGAGCAACTCTAAGCACAAATAGAGAACAAAAATAACTGGAAGCTATACTTCTAAAACACGCAAAACTCAATGCTTAAAAGCTTATGAGAATTGACACACAATATGTTCAATGCTTAAAAGATTATGAACATCTAACAGGAAACTTACAACCCAACAATAAGTATTCTAAGAACCCTAACACAAATACATCTGTAAGTTCCACCTAATACTAGGTATACACCAGTCTATTTATAACTTTATTCTAGACTGGGTTGGGCTTCAAAATCGCAGCAGTGAGTCTGCACATAATCTGCAAAAAGTCCTCCAAGAAAATAGATCTTCAATCATTAGTTTCATAAAATGTCTCCATATTTAGAAACTAATCAAATATTCGAAAACCAACATCGAATATACTGATTTTTCAATCTTGGACACCACATAAGCTAACTGAATATTCCTTGAATATTCAATAGCTAAAAATCAGCTAATCACAACTGTCAGCTTGCTGCAGACGTGATGTCCTCTCTCCTTGTTGGGACATCTTACTCGACATGTTGAAGATAAAATGTTGGAGCATCTTGTTCAACATGTTGCTGCTAAAATGGTTTTACCAAAATGTAAGCCAACCATAATTTTAGAGAAATAACAATCTCTTCCTTTGACACATTTTGGCTAAAATACTTAAACAATCCTTGCACAAAAAATATGCTTGAAAATAAATCAAACATACACATCAGAGGTACAACAATGAAAAATACATATGGAAGGTTAGCAACATAAAAATTAATTGCACACACATATAGTTAGTAGTTAGTTAATCTACTAACAGCTACAACAAAAATAGAGAACATCTAAGTTCTTACATCATGATGTCAAAACATCACATATAACATCTCTTCAAAACAACAGGAACTCCCCCCTCAAGTTAATACCTGCTATCACAAAACAGAGAATCATAGAATTCTCTCCCTCATTAAGTGCTAGCTCCAACACCCTCAATATCATACTACTCCCCCCTTTGTAGCCATAATGTGACAAACGTAAGTAGACAATATTAGTAGAAAAAATTTAAGCACCTAAAATTATAGTAGCAGGGTGCAAAAAATAAAAATATCATGAGTATTTAACTCTTACATAATCATAAACCAAAATAAATATTACAACAAAAATACAGCAAAACAATCAACTGCGGTCTTTATGCATCGGCATCATCAGTATCACTGTCCTCCTCGGAACCAGATCCCTCACTCTCTTCATCAGTTGTAGTAGTATCATTGCCAGATGAGTTCTTATCAGATGCATCAGATACATTATTGCCTTCACCACTAACAGCCTCAACTTCCTTTTTTGATTCCCCCATTAAGGCTTTAATGAGATCCTCAAGCTTAGTCTTTCTTGCTGTATCAGTTCTGATGGTGTCCTCCAACTACCTGCAAGTTTCCTTCAATAGGGAGATTATTTCCCTTCTTGATTGTTGTACCCCAATGAAACAACCTGGCCGAACCGTCATCTTGTGATGAAATATCAATGAAGTCGCCACTGAACGTCTTTTATCCCGCCAAGAGGGAAAGGTAAACATCGAGAAAACCTGAAGAGGAAGAAATCACGGTCTTTCGACCGAGAGATCGGGTAAGGGAGTCTATTATGCGAGGGGAATGTATTAGCACCCCACACGCCCGTAGTACTCTACGGTATCCACTCTTGTTGTCTAATCTAATGGGTGTGGTCAAAATCTATGTCTATGGCTTAAAGCTAAAAAGGAAATGCATGCGAAAGAAAGAAAAAAAAAGAAAACAATGTAGAGAAAATAAAAATTATGCTCGGTTAGGCCCTACCCCAATGCCTACGTATCCCTTTTAAGGAATCAGAGCAGCCGTAGTTTGGCTCATATATTCTGGTTGGTTTGTGTTTTTTAGTTAAGACAACAAAACAGTCAAGATGGCAAAACATCAAATAACACAACAAATAAATGAGATGGTAAAACATTGGCTAAATAATAACAAAGTAACATGTCAAAGATGGAGAAACACCAAATGATAAAACATCACATCTAACAATGACATTGAGAGTCAAAGTAGGATAACCAACATGTGCGATGGCGAAACATCGACTTCAAACAAGTATGCGATGGCTAAACATCGGCTAAAGATAACAAGATATCATGGCAAAGATGGCGAAACATCAATAAACCGGATGATAAAACATCACACCTAACAATGATATTGAGAATCAAAATAGGATAACAAACATGTGCGATGGCGAAACATCGGCTTCAAACAAGTATGCGATGGCGAAACATCAGCTATAAGATAACAAGGTAACATGTCAAAGATGGCGAAACATCAATAAACCGGATGACAAAACATCACACCTAACAATGATATTGAGAATCAAAGTAGGATAACAAACATGTGCGATGGCGAAACATCGGCTTCAAACAAGTATGCGATGGCGAAACATAGGCTATAAGATAACAAGGTAACATGTCAAAGATGGCGAAACATCAATAAACCTAATGAAAAAACATCACACCTAACAATGATATTGAGAATCAAAGTAGGATAACAATCATGTGCGATGGCGAAACATTGGCTTCAAAAAAGTATGCGATGGCGAAACATCGGCTATAAGATAACAAGGTATCATGGCAAAGATGGTGAAACATCAATAAACCAGGTTTAAAAACAAAGCCAAGAGGTGCACAAACAAAAAAAGATTGATTTATATCTTTTACCTTGAAGAAGGGTTTGAGTTTATTAGAGGTGTTTTATGATTTGCCAAGAAAAACAATTTTTGTTTTAAGATGCAAAATGCAAAGGAAGGAAAAACAACTAAGGGAAACT